AAAAAATACTGTAGAATACTTTATTTTCGCTTGGAATTTATTTTCGCTATTTTCGCTGAAAGGATGATTCAGTGAAAATAAAATCCAGCGAATATACTTTTTCCCAATATTTCACATTCAACTCGTCAAAAATCAGTGAAAATAAATTCCATACAAAATGCCAAAAAAGACTTTTCAGCGAAAATTAATTCCAGCGAAAATAAAGTATGCGACTGCATTGTTTTGAAAACTATTAAAATTGCTAAAAATATCAAGTGTGTATTTTTTTTAAAATTATATTATACGAGATAGTAAACAGGGAATGAAAGTTTTCTGGCATTTACTGGTAAATCGTATATGGGAAAGGTTAGCGTAAAACGAGGTGTTGATTACCGATAACATATAGGAGCAATCGTAATAAGAATGAAGGGGCTTGTGTAAAAAATACAAGTCAAGCATTAGTCGACGTATTTCTAAAGTAGGTAAGTTGAAATGGTTGTAAAGTGATACATAATCGTTTGAAAAATATATTATATTTGATATTGTACGTGAAAATAAATTTCATTCATTTTCAATAAAAAAGGAATGTCTGTGGAGAAGACCACACCTGAGAACAGTACTCAAGGTTTCTCCTCACTAACGTTGTTTATGTTTCAATAAAATGAATACTATAAAAAGATTTACACGTTCGCTTTAGAAAACCAACAATTTTAAAAGCTTTGCTTACAAAATCGTTTATATGCTCTCTAAAATGAAGTTTACTCATTAATAAAATACCTAAATTACGTCACGGTATAATCGAGGATCTACTAACATCGACCTTACGAATTATTCATATGCGTTTAATTGAATTACGCTTAATGCTAAAACATTATGACATCACATTTAATTTGCCATCTAGAACACAAACGAAGTACACGATGAAGACCCTTCTGGATCAGATTGACTTTTATCGGGTGATCAACATATTACATTATCAGTCACTTATTACATAAACAGTAAACACGTTATTACTTTATCGACTGGTATTGCATAATTAGTTAAATATTAATGTCTCAGCGATGGTCTTTCCAACTCCCGCTTGCCTCGTTATTCGTATATGCTAGTTGCATAGTTTATTATTGTGACGAACGTATATTCAATTTTGAGGTCTATAAATAATGTATGGTATATCATAGCCATATTCATAGTTATGTGACTCTCTGACGAAATGCTTTTGTTTTTCACTTTTTTTGCCTTTGCAGCTGTTTACATATGCATTATTATATTACGCTCTCAGATGATGTAATGTCGCTTATTAAAATGACGTGAAAACATAAAAAAATTATCATAGTTTAGACAGGGTCCGATGTGTCACATGTTAACTTCATGCGCAAAGGTTTCCTCGCATTGCTTCGAGTGTATTTCTGGTGTCCATTGAAGAACCAAATACCAGTATGATTTCAACACAGCGCCCCCTATTGAGCTTTACAATCTGAATGGCATCTGCGTTAGTTTACATGGACGCTGCAGTCGATGTCTATACTGAGACAGCGCGTACCGTGACGACACAACGGTGCGCTTAATTTGTCCGTCCAATCATGAGTATGATTAAGCAACAACGGGGCTCTGTTATTTCGCGCGTATCTGACTCGTATCTTTCTCGCTTTGTAATGTGGAATTGAAGAAAAAACACACGATTATCATTACCTTTTTTGTTTAAATGAACAAATCGATGCATATCCTTTTCCATCAAGCTTTTGTGGTTCGTTTTGGGGGTTATTTCGTTAATTTCACAACTTTGTGGCAGCATCGTCACATGTTGCTCACCAGACTTTCTTGTGTCTGTACAGTCACGGTTACTTTTTTAGTAACCGTGGTACAGTGGTAACTATTATCTGTACTCAATTTAATGTTTTGTACATATAAGCTATTACTTAACTAGTTCCTGAACTACATTTTCAAATGTAAATGTTTAAGTAATATAAATTATCGAATATCTAGAAATTATATATGTTGAAGACAACCTAATATGTCTGAAGTAGTACATAATTACTAATAAATAAATTAATTAAATAAATACATACATATAGCTGAATATGAATTGATTAATTAATTAATTAAGGTAGCGAGAGGGGAAAAACTAGAAAAAAAAACTTTTTTCTAAAAATCCCGGACAGACTGAAGACAAAGGATTTAATTTGCATACTGATTTGTTGACCATCCAGCTTTATTATATCCTGTGTAATATATAAGTAGTGTCCGTTACGCGATCGAAGCACAAACAAACATTACACTATAGTATTTCAAGCTTTTCTCGGTGTTTAATAACCTGATATATCATGGGAAGGAGTTCTAAGATGAAAAAAAACTGGCCGCCGAAAAATGCCCGACGCCGTTAAAAGATATCTAAATGAAAGTGACCTGGGCTCATGGTATAGTCAGCCCGCAGAGTGGAATCAAAAATGTAACTCCGTGACTGACATTTTTCCTGCGTCAAAAAAGAGTGGACATTCTTTTGATGTGAATCGTAAGCTGGTGATCGCGGCTCGTGGCATTGGAAAGGGTCGTCGCGCAATGCGTAAATTTAGTAGCTATATGGGATTACCGCCTTCTCTATTATATCTGGAACCACATTCAGAGAAAACACTCGGAAAGTTTTAGACGTTGCTAAAAGACTATTAGAACAAGAATTTCAAGATGCCGCCGATGAAATAAGAAAACTCAAAACATAATTGGCGGAGATAGACGAGAGTGGTGACACCGATAAAAAAAAACAGTGGATATAGCGGTTTTTGTCGACGGGTAGGGATTGGTCAGTTACTTCAGCCTAGGGGGGTCGGTGGATCAGTAGGGGGATTACCCTGTTTTTGATTGTGCGAATAGGGGGGTCACCCTGTTTTTGATTTCATGTTTTCCAGAATTCACACGCACTCAATTAATCAATAATACAAATCTAATCATTAAATTATTCAATTTACCAAGCAACTTATCTATCATTAATCCAATCATTTTATCAATCAATTTATAAAGCACTAAACATCTGTATTACAGCGGAAGGCTACACCTTAGTTACCGGTATTCGTAACGATTTGTAAATACCGATTATCTGTTTTATCATTCAAATCCAAATATTTAATAGCTCCGTTGTCTACTCGTGATGATGAATTGTTCGAGTTACGGAAATCTAGTTACGAAAACATCGAGTTACCATCTGGACGTGGTTTCGCAAAAATAAGCGTGGTTTCTAAAATATGGACATGGTCATTTTTGTAAAATCAGAATCTTTGCACGCGCAAGCCTTCAAGTTACATAGCAACTGCGACCGCAGTTTATTCAAAATGAAGGGTTTGATGGTTACTATACTGTCTATGGTTGAACTAGCTCATTACACATGGAGTCATTATAATTCGCGATGATTCCATATCGTTTCTAGATTAGTCAATTTGAATACTAATAGTCATTTTATTTAATAAAATGTTATTTTATAAAACTTTTAAAACATCCTCAGTTTTATGTCGTTCACTGCATATGTGCATTCATATGAGAGATACAAGCATGGATTTACAGAATTAAGCAAATGGGACCCTGACTAACAGTGGTCTAATGGTTTACTAGTAATTGAAAATGATAGTTGTGTTTGTTTTGTTTTACTTACTTTTTACTAATATAGGGAAAGTGGGTTTATAGCATGATGTCATCGCTATTAGACAACATACAAATGTAGTTATTTTTGTATAGATAAAATTGTTGCGGTGTGTTTGTAAGGGAAGTGTGGCGAAGAGAAGAGTTATCACCCATGGTTGTTTTTGGTTGTTGTGGTGTCTGGAGTTGGGACATTGTTATGTATTCACAGAACACAGGAAGAATGTTTCTTGCTCTTGTGCCCCCTAGTGTCGAGAATTGTAACACAGTCCAAGGGGATCATAGAGGGCGCTATAGACAACACGACAGTATTCGAGTTTCAGTAGCTGTACCGCAGTTATTAAGGGACTCACTGTGTTGAGAGATATATTATTTCTAGAATATAGTTACTTTTTTCTTGTTGGTTTTCTTTTTTTTAATGTTACACATTTTGTTTACAAATGCGATGGCGTCGATATTACAATAAAATGCAGTATGATTGCGTTTGATAGACGGTGTCATCAACCTTCCATGGTCGCATGGTCGTCAATAAATTAATCATTTCTTCGGTTTTTTTTGTTTTGTTTTTTCTGTTTTTGTCTTCTTTCTTTATGTCAAAAATACAACCAACTAACACGCCCAATGTTGAGTGTATACATCCGTTTGTTGTCCCGTATTATCACCGCGATGACAAATGCAACGCGTGGGATCATACAGTCAAGGCGGAAATAAGTGTTATTCGTTACCCAGGTAGACATGACTGGTACATTTGCCCGTTCGCCTCCACCGGTCGTCCCTGACGTATTTCTCATTTAATGCGAACTGTAGCTCCTCCTCCAATAAAACTTCTCTGTGACTCCCACTTTTGTCGAATGTTTAACTGTTCGTACGTCGAATGTAAACAGAGTCACAGCTGATATTCGGATTCTATGACCCCGGTGAAACGACGGGATAAAACAACGTTACTTCATGGGCGGAGTTATTTCTTGTGTGTAACAATTGTTCTGGATTTTTTTTTGTGGTATTGTTTGATTGGTCACGTGAGTGATAAACTGTTGATGGTGTGGTTCATGATTGCACAGTACCTTCACGGCTCTTACAATAACACCCCTACTTTTTTCTTGATTGTCCACGCAGTATGTCCTGGCTTATCCGTATAAATAACGTGTTAAACGACAACTGAACGATTATGCTACTGCGTGAAAAATTAATTAAAGGTATAGCAACGAGAATATCGC